CATTACGCAAATGATCAACCGGTTCAACCTGATTACTACTGCTACCTTCATTCCTACAACTAGCATCTTCTCCATGTTGATACCAAATATAATAATATGGCATGAAACCTCTATTTATTAAATGCTTCCAAACATTTTCACGAGGGCCTAATTTGGTATTGCAACATTTCCGACAAGGACAGAACATCTTACCACTTTCATGCGTGAGTGGTGTAGAATCTGCTTGATGCATAAACGTCTCCAACCCTTCGAGAAATTCTTTCGTCACCCTCCCGTTATTATCTCTGTGTGAATACATCCACTCCCGCAACTCGAAAATATTTCCCGGACCGGACATTTTTTTTTGTGTTTGATCAAGCTTATAGCTGATTTTTTTTGGTGTGATTCAAATGAATCACATACGGTGGTATTTATAGAAATTTTCGAATCTGAGAATTTACTAGGAAATTGCTAGGAAAAGTAGGTACAAAACACGTTTTTGATTTAAATTCGATATTTTCTATCCAGTTCCTCTTAATTTCGTAGTAATAAATCTCTTCCTCCTAATTTCGTAGTAAACTATTACTAGGACTTTACGAGGAAAGATATTACTATGAGTTTACGAGGAAAATAAAATTTTCCTCGTTAGGGCCACGTAAAGTTACTACGAGTTTACGAGGAAATCGTTTTCTCGTAAGTTTACGAGAACTTTACGAGGAAAAGTGGTTTCCTCGTAAACTCGAAGTAAACGCGTAGTAATTTACGAGGAATTGTTTTCCTAGTAAAGTTTCCTAGTAAAGGCTTAGTTTTCTTGTAGTGGACATGCTTCCAGCACACCATTGAGACAATCCAATAATCAAAGTGAAAAGGCTCCATCTTCATCACCTCTGCAATATCTTCCTCAAATTCAAAATCAAACTGAAACCTTCCCAAGCCTATATCAGTACCCGTTACACTCCCCTCAAGTTGCCAAATCCTTGGGAGCATGAAGAGAAGGACCTTCATGTCCTGCTTTGAAGGATTCATGCACCTTCCAATCACCGTTTTTGAGTATCTCTCAGTGAGCTCAGTGTTATTAAAACGGGGGATTAAAATCTTCAATCTTGGTTTTGCAAACTCCATCTTCTTCCCTCCAGATTTCGTCACCCAGTGGGATTGCGACATGATCACCAGAAACCAATGAATAGCAGAGAAAAAATTAGTAAAAAAAAATATGTTGATACAAAGGAAATGAGAATTGTGTGATGACTTTGTTAATTCCACCATGTATCCTATATATAACAACGTAATATCCATCCTATTGAATCTCATCATATAAATGCTAAGATACACAATATCAGTACAAAATCCCAGATTATAAGTAAGGATAGTAAGCAGAGATCTTGAAAAGGACAAAGTTATCATCCGAATCCAAAACAGAGTATGACTATCCATACCAAAACCAGTTGTTGTCTTTTCCACCAAAAGATTGTAAAAGATACCAAATAAAATCGTAAAACCAAATCAGTTTCCCAAATCCCTATATTCATCAAGGACCATCCAAGAATAGCCTTAATTGATACTCGTCTAAAATCCCGTAAATCACAACGCACCATTCTCAATTGACACCGAAAGATTAGTGAAATTATATGTCTCAAAATTTTTTAAAATTAGTTAATTTTAAAATAAAACATAAAATTTTAAGAAATTTATAGTTTTATAAATATTTTATCTTCCTTTCTTAAGTTAATACTTTTATATGTAATTTTATAAATATAATTAATTAAATTATATATTAAAATAATAATTATATAAATTATGCATTTAAATTTCTATATTTAGTTGTATATATACACTTATTTTTATAAAAATTGGAACGGATCAGATATCCGATTCTAATTTATTAGTATTTGTGATTTACTTCGTTTTTAATGGATATTGAATTTAATATTTACTTTGCTTCAAAAATTTACGGATATCCAGAATTTTCAAATCAAAATAGTCGATTCAAACTTTATGGAAAAAATGTCCAACCCTAGAGAAACTGTTAAGGAGATTTCAAACACTCAAAAACTGATAAAACATAATTGTTTCATTAATTTTTTGTAAGGAAACAAATCATAATTGCTTAGACTAAGAAATAAACTAAAACTACATAACTAAAGGCACTGCATTGTTAATATATAGTCGTCAAGGCAACCAAAACAAATACGTCATATTTTTTTCAAATAAACCAAACAGTCTTAAGAAAATGCATTTGTCAATAACACAAATAGTAAATAGTTAGTGATATTACAAGCGTTAGAGCACCTCCAATGGAGATTCTTCCCATTTAAAATTTTAAAATATGTATTATGTATATATATATATATATATGTATATATTATATATGTATAAATATTTGTGGAATCCTATAGAAGAATTCCCTTTGGGGTGGTTTTAGGATCACAAACGAAAGGTCCAAAATAATTGAATCAATTAGTAGTTATGTATCTCTTTGTTTTCTAACTTTTAAGGATATACAAAACTAATTTATGCAATTCACTATGATTCATTTAAATGTTAGATTTTCTTTAACTATGTCGAAGTGAAATAAAATAATAAGAATATATATATATATATATATATATATATATATATTACATTTTCTGAATTATTTTTGCTAATTTTATATTCTCGGAAAGTAGAGAATAATGAAGGTTACTGTTCTTTTAATTCAAACTAAAAATGTTTAGTACAATATCAGACTATTTATTATTTGTTTGTTCAATTTATAATGATTTAATGCTTCATAAAACTAAATAATAAATATATAATAGTTTTTACTATAACTTTCCGCCCGTAGAGTGGACCCAAACCCCTAAATGAGTGCATTCGTATCAAGGATTGAATGGTTCTGTCCAGTTTAAGTTTCTATTTTTTCTCAGTTTAGTTTCCTTTCAGTTTGCATCTTTCAGAGTTTTTTCCCTTTCTAAACATTTTATCTATATAATTTCACCATTTATGAATGGTAATTGCTTATTGTTATGATTTTCAAACCACCCTTGCGCCTCTGATATGTGTTAATTACTTCTCTTTAAATATTTAGGAACTGATATCATATAATTCTTACTGCACCTATGAGTTGTTAAAAATTGTTAGGTTTTTAACTATTACATATATTACATTGTTCATTACTGATATCATATAATTTTGTTAGACCTAGCCAAAATTCAACTCCTTAAAACTATTTTCCTCAAAAAGAATAATACTGTTATTGGAATGATTATTTTTTCAACTTTATAAAGGAGGAGTTTAAATGCATATATATACTACTAATGCATCACGCCTTCTCTGACAATTGGTTACAAAAAAAGTTAAACTCTAACTATTTCATAGAACATTATACAACTTATGCCTACAAGCTTATATATATTTTTTGATATTGAATTTTAATAGTTTGGAAATTGTATTCCCCAAAACCATCACATAAAATAAAAATAAAATCTAAATAATTGAAATAAAATAGTTAACCTAAATATAAAAGTTATATACAAAAACAAAAATTATAAAATAAGATAAAAAATTGAAGTTTATGGAAAATAACACGGGCGTAGCCCGGAAAATCTCTAGTAATATTATAAGTGGGATACGCTGAGCATAAGTCCACGTCTGCTTAAAAAATCGACCAATAGGAGCGTCTCTTTTTGCCACGTAATCAGTTGAATTTCATATTAAAGTTTATGATTCTCGGTTGGGCTTCGTGTTGATCCCGGGCTTCTGTGTGTTTATTGAGGCCCAAGGTGATAAAAAGTGACATTTTGCTACACAAAACGTGACGCTTCCCTTCCTTACCTTCATCGCTCCTCTCATGTATGTTGAATCAAATCTCTCAAAGATGTCGATGAAGAAGATCATGTTGAAGAGCTCCGATGACGAGGGTGGCTCTCGAGTATCAGACCATAGCGCACATGGTTGAAGATGATTGCGTCGACAATGGAATCCCTCTTCCCAACGTCACGAGCAAGATCCTCCCGAATGTGATTGAGAACTGCAAGAAGCACGTGGATGCTACTGCTTCCAACGATCAGACCAAGATTGTGGAGCTTACGGAGACAACAAAGATTATCCCGACAGAGTAGTTAAGATTTCGAGATTATGGCTTTGGTAAATACAGACATGGAGTTTCCGGGAGTGTGTCCAATGGAGTTGCCGGGAATGTGTTAGGCATTAAATCTTGTTGGAAATTTTGGCAGGCTTTGGACACATTCAATGCAGCAATTTTTTCTCCTGTCTACTATGTAATGTTCACTACTCTCACTATTTTTGCTAGTGCCATCATGTTCAAGGCAGGTTTCAACTACACATTGTCTCCCTCAGCAAAATTTTGTTTCAGAAATTTTGTTTCAGAAATTTTGTTTATAAGTATTGTGTCTAATGCTTCTGACAGGATTGGTCTGGGCAAAATGCAGCCAGCGTAGCCTCTGAGATATGTAGATTCATTACTGTGCTCACAGGCACAATGATACTTCATGGGACCAAGGAAGACGAACAACAAGCTTCTTCAGGTCAGAAAAACAAACAAAAATGGAACACTTGATTTTCTTAATAATATTATCATTGACATAACTGTTCCTTCTGGGTGTATTGAAGGCAATGCTGATTTGATATTTGGGTCTTCAGAATCAGTACGATGGTACGAGTCAAGAAAGAGCACGAACAAGAACACCTGATAAGCTTGTACAGCCCTGAATACTAGGAACAAGTTGCCAATCTCTAGACTCCCAAATATAGATTTGATATGTGGCAAGAAGAAGAAGTCTCGTGGACGCATGATGTGTGGTAACTTTGTATTGTTTTTGTGGTCGTCTCTTCTCGTCTCTCTACAGACAAAAGTTTTGTCTAATTGAATGGAACACGTTTTTTTTTATTTTTGAGCTATGTATCAATTCTAAGTACACACACAGACCGACACAAATACAAGCCTTCGTTGTATTCTCTTATTATGGACTCGTGTCCCAATATATATGTATCTTCATTTTTCTAAGATAAAAGATGTTTCCTTTTATTGTACTCGAATTGAAAGAAACAAAAAGTTGAAGTTTTATCAGAATTAGATTATTCTTTGGAGTCTCTGGTCGAAGTCTGAAGAAGTTGATAGCCGGTAAGGATGAAGTCGTGTCCAATGGTGGAGATAGTAAAAACAAAAAGAGCAAGGAGACCATAAGCGATAAAGATCTGATGTGAAAGAGTAAGGAATAATTAATTTGTGTAATACAAAAAGAAACTAAATAAATAACCGTAAGGATCTGATGTTGAAAGGTATGCACTTGAGAGCTAGGTTGCATAGCTAGGTTGCATGGAAACTCCGTTCAAGGTCTGTTTCCTATTTCTGAATCGAAATCTCTTGGAAACTCGAGGAAACTCTTTGCAAACACGTTTTTTGGAAATTTCATTTTGGAAACACTATGGAAACTTGTGTTTCTGATTTGGAAACTAGTTATTCTAATTTGGAAACTCGCGATTTTAATTAAAAACACAAAAATAACTATCTAGCATTTGATATTAGTGATTAGATGATTATTATTTTATATTTTAATATTATGTTTTGATATTTATTATCATTTTAGTATAATGATTTGATTTGGAATGAAGTCGCTCCATAGTTTTATCGAATGATAACATGTCTTAATTTTCTAGTTATTGATTATAATTTTTAAGAAAATGTACAAAAAATACTTATTACTTATTTTTCTATCTTAGATAAATAAATAAAAAAGAAAAAAAATCATGTTTCCATTTCTATTTTTTTTTTTTGAAAATCACGTTTCGTTTCTACGTATCTGTTTCTGATTCCATGCAACCTAGCTTGAGAGGATACAACACTACATCCTCCAAGGGAACGTATTATACACGCGTTATAAAGCTTTTCCAATTATAGGCTATATAATATTATTTTTTATTAATAATATTATACTATTTTTATATACATATAGATCAGTTTAATTATGTGAGTATAAAGTACAACATATCAAGAGAGAGTATACATTTATATTTTATATGTTCAAAATAAAATAGAATTTAACAGAATTATGTCTAATTTGAAGAGTTGAAACGAAACTATACTATATAAATATGTAATATAGTATAGATTTTAAAAACTTATATATAGAGAGTTTAGTATAAATTTGTTAAAATATATATATATATATATATATATATATATATATATATATATTTTTTTTTTTTACAAAATATTCAAAACATGTTATGTAAGGGTGGGCATTTCACTTTAATTACGGGTTCTGTTCGTTTTGGTTTATTTGGGTCTACGAAAGCCTTAACCATAGTCAACCCAAATTACTTTGGTTCGCTTTTACTTCATTTTGATTTGTGTTCGGTTCGGTGTTAATTCGTTGTGGTTTGGTTTTAATTTGGTTTTGTTTGTATATGTTCAGTTAAATTGAGTTAATTTTTTTAGTTTTGTTTAATTTATGGACCTTTAATTTAACTACAAAATAATAATTTATAAAAACAAAAATAATAATTTGACACTAAATATTATTTTCTTCATGTTTAATTATAAAGCTAAACGTCACAATAAAAATATAGAAGATGAAATCCAATAATTTTATAGTATTATCTTTAAACCTAATATAAATATCATAAGCAATTTTTCTGTCATGATGTCAATGTATGAGATTCATATTCTTTTATCTTTATTTTAGTTGTATTTATTCTATTTATTTAAAAGCAAAATGTATAAAAAAAATTTAGGTTGAATGGTTAAATATATTAAATCTCAATATTATTAGTCTATTTAATTAATTTAACTAAGAACGAATACTTCGGTTTTTTTTGTTTGGTTCGGTTTAAAACCAAATCATTCAAGTTGATAAAATCTTGAACCAAATGGTTTAGACATATTGGATCGGCCCACGTTTGGTTGGGTCGGTATGGTTGGGTTTTTTTCCCACCCTTGTTTTTATGTGTAAAAAATCTATGTTCTTAATGTTTGAAATGCAAAGTAGTGTTAATAAAAAACTAAAGTTGTTACATTAGAATGGGAATACATGCTAACTACAAAAAACAATAAAAAGATAACAAAAGTTAAGACTACATATATATATATATATACATGTGATTTAACAAATTATTATATAATGTCTAAGGTATACTCTAACCATTAAGTTGTTATATATATTTCGTAAACTGAAGTTTTGTTTGTTATAGAATCAAATATCCCATAATAAAATGATTTAAAAAAAACAAAAACCAAAAATCCTTTTAAGATTAAAAACAAGCAAGACTTTAAGCCAGACTACTGTTATAAAATTATTTAAAAAATTAGATACATATTCAAACAAAACAATTAACATAATAGTACAAAATGTAAAATTTTAAAATAATAAATATGATCCACACTTTAAAAAATAGATACAAACTCAAACAAAACAGTAATACAAAATGTAAATTTTAAAAAATTAAAATATATAATATGCGCGTAGTAGTACAACATATAAAGTTTTAAAATAAAAAATATAATCCACGCTTACAAAAATAGATACATACTCAAACAAAAAAATGCATAATACAACATGTAAATTTTTAAAAATTAAATTATACAATCCGTGCGTAGCGCGGAGAAAGACCCTAGTATTATATAATGTTTATATTTGCACAACAATGAGCAGTCGTCATATTGATAAAGTCGTGTTGACAGACGAGGATTTGTAATTTCCAGGTAAAGGGAGCGATATGGCCACTATGGACTCTCAGTTTACTCAACCACTGTTATGAAATCACCTACCCACGAAGGTCGTGTTGACATAGTCGTATTGACATATCCGCTCAAGCTAAAGAATAGTAAGTGGCATGATCGGAACTTGGGAGAGGAAGATAGAAACCTAAGCTCATAAGAGATGAGTTAAGTTCTAGAAAACTTGAGAGAATTTAGAGAGACATTTTAGAGAGATTAACTAGAGAGAGGTTTTTTATGAAATTGTTTGATGATATTTCACAAAGGGGTACACACATATTTATAGGGGGAGAGGATAAGGTGCTGACATAAGCGCTTACCTCAGCTACAACGATTATATCATCACTTATATCATGCTTACATCATTATTGGACACACTTATTTTACATAATAAAACACACATGATTAAACATATTTATCTTAGCATAATTAAACATAACTTAATGACCTTCTTAGTGGTCTATCTTGAACTCGATGATGTTTTTGTCGCAGCATCCATAATGATCATTTGGGCATTCGAATTCTTCTTCAGGTTCTTCTTCCTGAGTCTTCTGGGAATCGTCGTTTACATCAATATTAAAATTTTTTCCGATTTTTTCTATATTCATATAGTCGTCAGGAAGTTGTGCATCTTGAAAATACTCCGATGGGCATTCTTGAGTTTGATTTTCTTGTGGTTCCTGCTTCAAAGGCTTTGGTTAGTAAGAAACATATTGTGGACGTTTTTCACCGAAGAATATAAGATCTTTGTCGAGACTCATCTGGTAGTCAACTGGATAATAAGTCCAGTTTGGGATGAACGGAATGGAAATTTTTTTGCCTAGCGTTGTTCAGTCGAAACGCGTGAGTCTGGAAGTCTTCGTAAAGTTTTTTATCGCTGATGTTGAAATCTGGTCGTAATCCTCGTTGGAAGTCGTTGTGATGGATGAGTGTGGGTAGAGCGTGAATCTTGCTGGTTTTGCTGTTGACTTGAACAGGACGGTGGAAGAAGTAGTTTGTGTGAGGGTTAAAGAAAGGGTTAGGACCTCCTTGACCCTTTAAATTCTTGAATGACATGCTGGTTGCCTTCACGGATTTTCTCAGCTTTCTACTCCAGACAGATAATGGTGCAAACCATGACAGAAATGTTGAGAGGCATTCTTTATGTCCATGCTAGCGATTGGTGAACTGAGCATTGATGTATTGGTATAACCAAGAGATGTCAAGAGTTCTACCTATGGTGAAAACCGAGCAAAGGTACCAGAGGAAACAAAGGACTTCTTCATGCATGTATATGGTTTCGATCATGTAGAGATGTGCAAGTGGGTAGTCAGGATGAATTTCCATTGGTGAAATGTAATGATTGAGAGATCTGTATCTTGAATTTGTATCTACAGATTTGACGTTTTCCATTTATTTCTTCAAATAAAATTGCTCCCCAATATTTGTCTCTCGCGTCAGTCTGTAAGATACGCGTGCCAGTGGAGGAAATCTTTAAAGGCGGTAGCTTCTGCACCTCTATTTTTTAGGTTTTTGACAACTTCAGTTTGTCCATTGTGTTGGAATCTTTGTCAGCATCTTCTGTAGCGGTCTTGTAAGCTGCGAAAATTGTGGGATAAAGTCGCTAACGTAATTGATTACGCCAAGGAACTGCTGGACTTGTCGTTTTGTGAGATTTTCATCGGGAAAATCGAGGAGTGTTGTAGCAAGATGGGCTTAAGGTGAGAAAATTCTTTTTTCGATTTGCATTCCAAGGAAATCGAAGTTGGGCTGGGCTATGAACATTTTTCAGGCCGAGAGCATGATTCCATATTGTAGTACTATGCTCTGGAACTGTTGAAAAAGTTAGACGTGTTCTCTTTCTGTTGACGAGAACATAAGTTTATCATCTATATATATCTGGGCCGTGTGGAGAATGGGCTTGAATATAAGAAGCATTGCTTGCTGGAACAGTGAAGGTGCGGTCTTGAGTCCGAAAGGTAAGACATTCCATTG